GAGTGGTTTTGATGATTGGAATGCATTTTTGAATTGGCCTATGGTTTCAATATCGTACATATTCTCAGGCAAATCATTCCATTGTCGTATTGTATCAGGTAAAAACGAGTTGCTATACAAATCACTACGACATCTTATAGTTTGAATGTTATTACTGTTTCTTAATCTATGGTCACTTAACTGTGATACTTTTTCTGGCTGTAGATCAGTTAAATAAACTGGTGTCATATGATGAACCATTTTGTAACATAATGATAACTTGCTAATTTGTCTACGGTGAACTAAGGGCATAGAGTTAGTTTCCTTATATATTAAATCATGACGTGTTCATCTAACAGCCCCGCAAATTGTCCGCAGTGCGTCTAAATGTAGATTTTCGACAAGTTTTTCTTGTTCTTTAGTGCAGTTATCCCAAAGGTGCGAACAGTAATCGAACGTTGGTAATATATATGACTTGTACATTTGCTCTAATGATTTTCTAGATAATCTATATTTAAAACTACGTAGACAATTTACCAATGGACGAACCTTTTTAACTAATTCACCAATGTGGGAGTTCCATTTACAGTCTGATTGCAAGGTTACTCCTAGGTGTTTATGGTAGCCGACTTCAGTAATGTCTACTCCATGCATTTTAAGCTTAGGAATTGGAAATTGATTACCGGTATTTCTGCGAGTGAATAAAACAGCTTCAGTCTTACCAGGATTAAAGCTCACCTGCCATATTTCAGCCCAGTGAGAGATCCTGTTTAGGTCATTATTTAAGGAAGCGGCAGTAACAACATGATTATCAACAATAACATATACCGAAGTATCATCGGCAAAAAGACGAATGTTACTACTGATACCCTCAATGATATCATTTATGTAAACTAAAACAGTAATGGCCCAAGGACAGATCCTTGTGGCACCCCAGCAGTGACTTTCTTTAGATCTGAATTGTAATTGTCTATAGCTACTCTCTGTAATCTGTTGTCAAGATAACTGGAAAACCAATCAAGTAACTTACCCTTAATACCATAAGCTTCTAATTTCGCTATGATTCCTTTTGCCAAACCTTGTCAAAACCTTGCTTATGTCACAGAAAACTGCCCTGACTTCTTTGCCATTGTCTAATGCATGTAGTATAAAATCATACAAGTATGTCAGTTGGTATACAGTTCCATCCCCAGGCATGAATCCTGACTGCAAATTCGTTAATACGTTATTATCTAAAAAGTTAAACACATGTTTAAAAATACATTTCTCAAATACCTTTGATAAACAGCTGGTAAGAGCAACTGGTCTATAGTTTTTACATTCATTAAAACTACCTTTTTATGAATAGGAGTGACAATAGCTTCCTTCCATATTGTTGGGAATTTACAATATTCTAGGGATAAATTGAATAGATTAGTAAGAGGAGTACAAAGGGATGGCACGATCATTTTGATAAATCTGTTACCTATTTTGTCTGGTCCACTGGCTTTGGAAATATCAACTGATAATAGGATGTCTCTTACTTCTTGTGTAGTCAATACAATAGATGCAAGTGGAGTCTTTACTTTACATTCAAGTGTAGGAGTCTCCTCATCAGGATAGTCAACTTGTGCATGGTTAGCAAAACATTCATTAAATATATCTGCTTTATCTTTACTATCATTGATCAGATTATCGTTATGAAGAATCGAAGGAAATTTCTTATAATCTCCATTTTTGGATTTTATGTACTTATTCACTAAAGCCCACCAAAATTTAGAATTACTCCCCTGATTGATCTTATCATCTAAATCAGAAATATATTTCAATTTGGCTGCTCTCACGGCTGCTGTTACTTTGTTCCGTAAAAGCCTAAATTTTTGCCAGTCTTTATCATAATTTCGAGTCTTTGCTTTTTTATGCTGTCTATTTCTTTTCCTGATAAGTATTCTTATAGCACTATTCATCCATGGATTGTCCCGAAGTCTTATAGTTACCACATTGTTTGGGACATAAATATCACATATATTTCTCAAAACATCAACAAATTCATGTGTTAGTATATCGATATCATTACATCTAAAGATAGAATCCCAGTCAACGTTGTTTAGGCCTCGATTCATTCCCTCAGTATTAGTTAAATCATAATAAAACACTTTCCTTTTAAATTTTAAAGGCGTTGAATCAGAGCCCCCAACAGAGAAATAAACTGGACAATGATCACTGCAAAAAGGATCAAGCACACCCGAAGTGTGAATGACATTAGGGTTTGAAGCAAAGATTAAATCAATTAACGTACTAGTCGTTTTGGTGATCCTTGTTGGTTATGTGATAAGTTGCTGTAAATCATATGTATCAAGAAAACAACTTTTTCTCTTAAGCCACGCACTAAGCTTATGTTACTGCTATTAACACTTACATTATATTTTATAGAGCCATTGTAATTATACTGACTTTGTATTTTTGGTCATTCTATTGTGTAGTACCATTGTAATTACTCGGCACTATTATTTGTATTGATTACATAATTCTAGGTTAAATTATTGTTTTAATTTGGAAGTCGACATGTAACAATATATTGTAAGATTTTATTCCGTCCTTGTAAATTGGTCAGTTACAAAGAGCTACTTGTAGAGATTATTTCAAATAACTTTTTAACGAATTGTGGTTGATATTTATCGGTCTATCCAAGGGAATAAATAAAGAAGGGTTAGATTTTGATCGTGAGAGTGTGTTCACCAGATTACGCCTCCTGAGAAAGAAGTGACGACAGCACCACTCCTACAACCGTGACAACCGTTGCCGGATATCGATAACCTGTTTTATGACAAGATTAACCAGTTTATCCAAAGTGTTGTAAATGTCTTCAGAAATTGTATCCGCTATATACACAGCTGACATATTGGTTTGGTTTAAACGTATTTTTATTCAAATTAATTTGAATAGGGATCGGTGAACAAGCTGTAAGCTTATATGAACACCTCTCCCTTACAAAAACAAATAATAATTACATAGTTTGGCTGTTAGTCATGTATACGCTGTACATAGTCCAAAAGAAGAGAGGTATGTCGACATCATAGGTTGAGAGTAAACAATCATTATCTTGAGAAAAGGGAGTCAAATCTGCCTGATTTTACGATAGATAAATGAACAGATTCAAGAATCTGCATATTTACAGGTGCAGTTGCATGGACATTTCCGAATAATACTGAGTCTAATGTATATCCTTTTTGGTAAAGTTACATGTTATTTCGAGTTACAGTATATATTGGACAAGTAAAGAAAAAGTGAAAACTATCCTCATTTGCTAGTCCACATGAGTATATCGGACTTTCTAAAATGTATCTTTCATATTTGTGAGCATTGAGGTCACTGCAGCCGAGTCGCAGGGGGGAATGAACGATTTGAGCAAAACGGCTTCCATAGTTTAGATTGAAACATATACGAGGTGGATTAATAGTCCTCAGTCGTCTTTTAAAACTGGACAGGGACTCTAATTGAGTAAGATGTTGGGGTAAGTTGTTCCATAGTTTAATAGTATCGTGTAAAAACGAGTTTTCGTAATTACTTGTTCTGCAATTAATAGTTTGAATGTTATTACGATTTCTTAAGTTGTATTGGTTTGAATCAGATACACAAGGAGGGACAAGACTGGTTAGATAGCCAGGCGTTAAGTTATTTACCATTTTGTAGAACAAAATTAATTTATTATTATTTTCTCTCATCCTTAAAGGCTAGATATTTGTTTCGTCATATAATTTGTTATGGCTAGTATACTTCAACCTACTTACTTATCATCATCCCATTGTACGTCAAACTCATCAATTGTATAAACTCAACTCTAACCACAATCAATCACTCTGTACATCAACCTCCTCTGCTCAAATCACTTATCAAATATCCAATGTACATCAACCTTGTTAATTGTATATACTCACTATGAAGCAATGTATATATTCTCCTTGTTACAAATTGTTATATGACTTGCTTGATAACGGTGTTAGTACCTACACCGAAACGTCGCACTCATTGCAATAAAGAAGTTGACTATGCATAGAACTTAGTGTTCCTTCATCATAACTTCTAAAATGCCTCTCAAAGAAGGTGTAAGGTATATCGACACGTCGCATCTTGGTATAATAAAAAAGTTGTCATCCATCTTTTAGCTTGCCTTTTTTGTTACTCACGATCTTCTAACCAGATTAATCGCATTAACTGGCATTTTCTGACATTAGCTGAAACGCCGTGATATATAAATGGTATAATTCTGCCAATGGGCGTTGGAACATAATGGAGATGACGTCACAAACGATTTTTTTGGTGTGACGCCGTTCCAACAGAAGGCAAAAAGGGGTAATTTATTCATTTGAAATCTGAAACACATACTTTTCCATATACTCTCTCCATAAAAAGAATTATAAGGAATAACGTACTTTCAACTGCGCATTATCTGTAGATTGTCTGTCCCTTACGAATAAGCGTTTATCTGTCCCACATTAAAGATTCACTCATGGCAGATGATCCGCCATTCCTTGTAGTGCGTCGGTATTCCTCTGAATGATCAATGCGCAGTTGAACGTACGTAATTCACTCACTCACTCACTCTCCAGGGCTGGTGGGCATCAAGTCCAAGTGTCGATCTACTGTGTATAATATTGATAAAAAAAACTGTTGGCTGCCTTTGACGACATCTGTTACGGTAATGACATTAACACTGTAGGGATATTTTGATTATAAAAAAATACATGGGCTTTGGTCCAAACGCATATTTATAAACACTGTTAGAAGCGGCTGTGACATGTAGTATTAAATTGCCTTTTCTACAAAACAAAATAAGGTACCGGTAGGTGTTCGTTGCAACATGCTATAAATATACCCTGGAAAGAGTGATAGAACTCAGCAGTGCAAGTTTTAATTATCGCAACCACGTCAGCAATTCCTTATCTTGCCGCAAAACTCCGATTTCACGTTGGGTTAGCAGCATAGCATTCATTCGCGCGTGTGGAATGTTGTGTTCTACGTCATAGGAAGTGGGATCTCACTGCCTCTTCCTGATGTAGCCGCCATATTGGTCGGCTTGAGGGTCAGAAAATTGCAAACTCTTGTGTAGTTTGGAAGTTCTTTTAAAAACTTGTCAAAATTCCGCTCTTTAGCCCCAAAATGCCGTTGGCTCCGTTAGCGGATCCCTGGAAGCGTATGGAAGTGGCCCAAGACAATGAGGTAACACGATCACACGTGGATTTCACTAGTACACAAACTGTTGAATCTGATGCAGTCCGTGTATTACTTGAGAATGCGGCGTCTCAATGTCCGGTATTTTCTGCGCGTATTCTTTTCACGGAGTAAGGACGACGACATGCTTTACGTGTATAGGTGCCTGTTAATTCTACATTTCCAATTGTGTGTCTGTTTGTCTGTTTACAGGCAGGAAGTACAGAAGATATGCTTGTGGATGATCAGGTAAGTTGTCTGACGAGAGTTGTCTCGCTCCAGTTAGCGCTTGGATTTCATGTCAAACCACTGCTGTCAGTTTTATTGAATGTTTATTTTAGAATGTATGTGAGTCAAATCCATTAATAATTGCCAAACAAGGGTCATACAATGATTATGACATCGACAAATGACAATTACATTGGTAGCATTGAACACTGTAAGGAATTTATGGGGCAGGAGTGTGGGCGTGGAATGTAGAACATGTTTGCCTTGAAAGAGTAAACATTGAACATAGACAAGCCTCAGTCGTGTGCACAATATAAGTATGTAGATTTCAAACTGTTAACTAGGGGTTTCTCTGAGTCGTTTCTTCACATATTTATGATTTTGTTCATGTTGTTTGTAATTTGTTATCAACAACAAGTAGGAATCATTGTTTTGGCTAATTTTTAGAACATTAGAAAGTTGTAACCATTAGAATATCACCTTATGCTTTGTCATGATGATAAGTAAATGTGATATTAACATGTCAATAATATAAAGTTATTTGTTTCAGTATTGATTTCACTGTTTATCATTGTCAACTGTTATGTTGAACATTTTTGAGATGTTGGATTGTTTTGACACATTTGTGGAATATTAGGAAGAGTGACAAGAGACAAAGATTCTTTTGACACTAAGGATAATAGTCATGAAAATATTTACAAATTCCTTTTGAAGTATCATGTTTATGTGTCTTTGTACCATGTATACTGCACCCATTGTGACCCACAAAACTTATACAGGAAACATAATTGATTATATATGCATATGTTGACTCAGCTCAACTGCTGCTATTGACTTGTCAGCATTTTGTTCACATTGTGACTGATTAGTAGTAAATAATTGATACTATTTATAATCATGATCATGCTAACTTGTGTCAAGTAATTTTGATTGATTGTTGGTTATTAAATGGTTAGCACCTTAGTGTCAAACTGCCCAAACTGATATTTAATAATCACAATTCAGGTTATGGTAATTATGTTTAGTAACAAATACTGGCAAATTTTGCAGTGATGATTGCTTTCCACAAACAGGAGAGATATTGAGAAAAAGCCTTTTATGTTTTTGCTTTATGTCATTGCAATGAATATAGTAATGGTAATATGCTAACAGGTTAAAATAATGGTGTATACTGTACAGTATTTTTCTACCGTTTCTATTTATTTTATAATTAGCTATCAGCATCTCAAAATCCCTTTGACTTGTCATGTTAGTTATGAGGAGTGCTGAATGACATTCTTGCAACATATCAGTTTGATGGATTGTCTACAAGACCAGCTTAGGCACTTTAAGGTAATATTTTTGACTATTTATCTACCTATATTGATACACAGAAAAGTTATTCCATTCGACTGAGATAAAAAGATTTCCTGTGGGAGATTCATGTGTCAGTGGTAATGTGGGTGGGGTGAATAGTTTGGATGGGTTGATGACAGCCAGACATTGTTTACCTCTGGCCTAATCATCAGAGATGACTGACTCTGTTCACCAGGCAACACAAATGCTTGTGTACTTTAGCTACTTCAGTATGTTTTAGTGATGTAACTAAATTACTTATGGCAACAGAACTATGTTTCTTTTCACCTGGACTGATCCCACTCTTTAGCCCCTGACAGGGATTATTTAGACACTTTGTAGATATCCTCAGAGGCTGATATTCAACCTAATGTCTGCAGCAGAAATCAGTGGAAGTTTCAAAATTTAAATAAAAAAGAAAGTTCAGTTCATATTAATTTGCTTATGTCATAGCTTTGTTAGGGTAACCTGTGTATCTCTAATGACAGTCAGAGGCGGTGGGGTAGCCCAGCGGTTAATGCATTAAGACCTTATCAGACCAAAGACCTGTGTTCGATTTCCCACATGGGTGCAATGTGTGCAGCCCATTTCTGGTATCCCCCTCCGTGATATTGCTGGTAAAACCAAACTCACTCACTAATGACAGTGAAAAGTAAAAGTATGAAATGTATGGCCTTATTTGGCCTATTGATCCAAAATGTTTTTGTAACCCATGAACAGAAACCTATGTGTAACATTTAATCCAAACAAAGATAATATTAGTTGTTACCTCATATTGTCATTGGAATTATGACAAAAAATTCAAGAATACCTTACCTACCTGAACCATTGTTGGTTTAATGTTACATATGTTACCTGAAACACAAGCTTGTTTTGTTTAGCCTTTATTGTAACATGTCTTAGCATGTTACAGTGACCTGCTGCATCTGTGCAGCCATGTAAACATTATGGCTGTATCAGATGGCACCAGGAAACATGGCCTTGTTTTGTGTGTTTGGTCACTGTTTGCACATTTCAGTAGAATCCACTGAACATGCTGTGGTGTTGGTCATCAATGAACGTGAAAAGCCAACCATGCTGGTTGACAGAAAGGGAGATAAATGTGCAGCTGTTGGAACCCTTAATGTACACTGTTTACTTTACTAATGCAGGTTCAAGTGTGAGCAAATCAATAACCATCACAATACAGTTATTTGTCATGTTTAGTGAAATTTGCTGTTGAGAACTTGAGAGGTGAGGAAATACTGGTTTGTGAAACTTGGTCTTGGGTGCCTTGTGTAATACAGTCTGTGTCCAAAACCTTTGAATTGATGAAATGAACTTGGCATCATTTTTGGTGTGATATGGAGAATTATTAGCAGAAAAGAATTTAGGATGATTTGAACTGATGGTATGATTTGTAAATTGGTACTGCAAGCATGGCTAGTTGGGGTTAACACTTTCTTGTCATTTTTGTCGTGCTGAAGACCTCGGTTCATTTCCCATATTGGTAATGCCCACTTCTGATGCCCTTCTCTCAAATCATGGTACTATTGGAATATTGCTAAAGCGGTGTAAAATCATATTCAATCCGTTAGAGCATGGCCAGAGATGTTGCCCTGCATGTGAACATGTATGAACACTACTTGTTCATGTTGAAGGGAGCAACATGGCCCTGTCCTTGAATGCGAGACCGTTTTACTGTGCAGATTTTTGTACCTTTGTTACACTAGAACTTATGACAGTGGGTCCGAGTCCCAGTCCCCCTGATTTTTTTTCAAGGTTTGTCAGCATCGTAAATCAGTTGTGTAGATCAATGCTCACAATGTTGATCATTGGATTGTTTGGTCCAGACGCGATTATTTTCAAACTGCTGTCCTATAGCTGGAAAGTTGCTGTGAGTGGCGTGTAACAGGCAAAAAATCATTAACTTTGATGTAATCACTAATCAGAGATATGTCCATATGTCTTTTGGAAGTCTGCATCATTTCTACATATGATTGCGATCTCTATTTGATAAGTGTCCAAATTACTGTTAGTACCTGATGAAAAGTTAGTACAGAATACTGTTTCTCCAGATTGTTAGAGGTCCTGCTTGTTTGTTTATTGTTAAATGTGTGCCATAAAACATAAAAGAAACAAATCAGATAAAGAATTTGGCAGTAAAGTTGAATGAATAGGATTATAGTAATGTATGCCATGTTTTTGTCATTTTTCATTGTATACTACACAAAACATGACAGGGATCATGAATATTTTGGGGGTAATTATCTATAGTGTAGACTGAGCACACAATTACTGGAATATGTTCTCCCAAATATTCATGATCTTTGACGTTTTTGGTTTGACAAGAACATAGTTTCTATACAAAAATACAGTTTCCCCCAATGACCATAGGCATATTCCCATTTTATAAAGCAAGTGTCATTGCTGTGTCGTTGCATCTTGTAAATCCTTTTCCCAGCTGCAGCTAATTGTATTAGTATTGATTTTATGTCTGCAAATACCCTTAACTGTCCATTAGAACAAGGCTCGGCATTTTACCAAGTGCAAAGAATCATATGGACGCATCTGGACTAGCCATTGGCTGGCAATTTGAAAAATTCCCTCCAACAATCATGGATAGTGTTGTGAATACTAGTCACAAGGCGACTAAAGGTCAACATGGGCAGGGTGGCAGTATGTTTCTGTGGTTGTGTGACTGGGAAGGAATGTGGTGTTCAAAGACTTTGAATATACTCTGCTGCTCCATGAATTGTTTCTCCAGTCTTTGTTCAGGGTGTATCTGATAGAATCAGTTTGCAAGACAAGACATGCGCATGGTGAAGAAACAAGGCCCTACAGCTCTTACACAGATATTTCATGGCCAGGGGATTAATTTTGTCAGTACCACTGGGGAAATACATATATAGAATACCTCTGCTGAATTTATATACAATCCCACTTTTGATAGGGATATCTTTCCATGATACTCAAAACTGATTCTCATTGTGCCAGGTATATAGTGAATAGAATGACATATTTTTTATCCTCATCAGAGGTTCACATCTGACTTTCTGAGGTTGGGGGTGGGAAAGCCTGAGTACCCAGCTTTAGGGACACACTAATCTGCTGTGAAGGTTTACAGCTCTTTCAGAAACCAGTGATGGTGGGTTTGATTCCCAGATTTGTCCTGAACACGTTCATTGTTTTGTCAGTATCATCTTGTGCTCGTGGGTTTCACTGAAATGGTAAAGTTGTAAGATCTGCATCACTTTGGGCTTTGTTATGTTGTTGAAATTAGGGCTGGTTATACATACAGATCATAGTATGACAATCATGCTCTCAATATCTGGCAATATAGGTCATAGATAATCATTCACTTAATATCAGTCAATTATTGGACCCATGAAGGTCGGGTTAAAATATTAGTTTTACGCCACACTCAGCAATATTCAGCTATATGGCGGCGGTCTGTAAATAATTGAGTCTGGACCAGACAATCCAGTGATCAACAACATGAGCATCGATCTGGGCAATTGGGAACAGATGACATGTGCCAACCAAGTCAGCAAGCCTGACCACCCGATTCCGTTAGTCGCCTCTTACGATAAGCATGGGTTACTGAAGATCAAACTCACTCACTCAGTCAATTATTGATAGATATTGGAGAAGTTAGTGAGCAAATATACCAATTTTGTTTGCCAAAAATCAACACGTGACATCAC